AAACCTCCTAAAGCAAGAACCCGTCCGAGGATAGCGCCCCCAAGCGAAGAGCAAATCACTAAGTCACTAAGTATAATGCGATTCTCAGGAAAGGAGAGGAAGAGACACCACTTCCTGACCACAACGCAGTGTTTCATTTTTCACGGATGGTTCTGGAACAGCAGGCAGGTGCTCCGCACGAACGCCAGCAGGGTGGGGTTGGACCCTTCAGGGGGAGGGCCCGGAGACTGGGGAAAGGGACTGGTGGTGGAAACAAACCCAGACCATGCCGCGTATCTAGGTGCACAGGTAGGGTCAAACAACACAGGCGAACTCTCGGGCATTTTGGAGGCTCTATTGTTTGCAAGCGAGCGAAACATGAAAAGTCTGGTTATTCACTCGGATGGCCAGTGGGCCATCAACGTGAGCCTGGGCAAGTGGAGGGCCAAGTCCCACAAAACCATGATTAACCAGATCCGCCAAATCATACGGCAAGAGATCGTCCTTGTCAAGTTGCAATGGGTCAAGGGTCACAGCGGACAAGAAGGCAACAAAAGAGCAGACAGGCTAGGCTTAGGAAGGGACACAAGGGAGCGGTCGGGGGGTAGGCAGCTGGTGTTAAGGGACCTGACCATACTGCCTGGCAGCAAGTTGAGCAACCAAACTCGTTCGTCGCCGAAGTTAAGTCAGCAGCAGAGCTGGCCTTCCAGCCCACGAAGTATGCGCCCCGCGCACCATGGATTTCGGAGGACACGCTGAGGGCGCTTGAGGAATCCAAAATAGCGGAGGCCGTTAACGACCCCGAGGCCAAACACAAACGCAACCGGGCTAGGTTCACGCCCAACTGCTTAGCGACCTAGGGGCGGAACATTCCAAAGTCTGGAATGTAGTGAAGCGTCAAAAAAGAGGTTTTACGGCTCGAAAACAGCACTTAGTTGTAGATGGCACCCCCCTTCCTTGGACCAAAACGCACGAGGCTATCAGGAACCATCTGCAGGACAGTCAATGGGCTAACCGAACTACCCCTGAACAGCTTGCAGATATTGGAGGTCGCCCACCTCAGACCACAACGCACTAGTCAGGGTTCTATCACTTTAGAAGAGCTTCAGCAGGCGTTAGCACGTATGAAGGCACATAAGGCCCCAGGACCTGACGAGGCCCCAGCCGAACTTTTCAAGTGGCTTGACGCTAATGGAGAGCATGAATTACTAGCCATTTCAGCAAGTTTGGGAAAGCGGGGACCATACCGCGCGATTGGAAGCATGCCATGGTAGCTACTATTTACAGTCCCAGCTAACTACAGGCCCATTTCACTTCTTAATGCTACGCGCAAGCTCTTTGCTAGGATCATCCAGACGCGCCTATCACATGAGCTAGACACCCAGTTACGAAACTCCCAGTATGGATTCAGGGCCAAGCGGGGAACGAGGCACCCCCTCTTCATACTCCGTAGAGCTATGGAATTCTCTAACATGACGGATAAGCCCTTACACCTGTTGTTTGTTGATTGGAAACAGGCGTTTGGTTCAGTCAACCATACCGCCATGATGGTCCCAGAAGATTATTAACTCCATTTATGACTCACCCACTTTCGAGATCAAGGGCCTCAACGGGAAAATTGCACAGGGGGAAGCAGCCAGGGATGTCCCCGCTAAGCGCGTATCTTTTCATTATCCTCCTCACCGTCATTCTGCAGGACGTAGACGATAGACTACGTAGACAGGGCACCCCGACCAAAACCTGGTCCGTGCACAACCCCACCTATGACGTAAACCTTCTCCTGGGATTGACCACACCGCAATCAGAGCAAATGTTAAGAGCCATTGAGAAAGAAGCCGTTTGCTATGGGATGCGACTAAACACCACTAAAACCGAGTTGCTAGTTAACGCGTGTCGCCCCGTGGAAAGTATCAGATTTGAAAACGGGGACCTAGTCCCGACCACAACGCAAGCTAAATATCTGGGTTGTGTGGTTTCCTGGAATATGCCTTTCCGCACGGCGTTCAAGCATAGATGTGCGCTTGCCGAAGAAGCCTATAAAAAACAACGGTTGGTTTGGAAAAGTTCACTTCCCAGAAGAGTTAAGTTACGCATTTTCCAGGCTATATTCCCGACAGTGTTCACATACGGGCTTGATTCCTTCGCATTGACCGAGGGACATTTAAACCAGATTGACGCTTTGTATTTCAGATTCCTAAGAAGAATAGTGGGTATCAAGGCCTCATACTATTCAAGGATCCTTAATTCTGAAGTTTATCAGCAGGCCGACAGACCAAAATAAAACGCTGTTCCGAATCCATTCAGGACGCCCAATTCAAGATGATGTATGAGGTATTTTTATCCCCAGAAGAAGACCCCATACACAATGTTGTCTTGGATGTTAGCCTAAAAGACCGCATTACTCAGCCCGAATGCAGACATGTGTCATGATAATAACACCCCACAAGCGAAACCACTTAGGAGACGTAGGTCCGGGGTCATCGCTTTCTCCTCTTTCTCCTCCTCTCTCTTTTCTCCTCTCTCTTCTCTCTCCTCTCCTCTCTCTTTTCTCCTCT